CTTGAAAGTTTGTTTTGGAACAGTACTGGTCAGCAGAGTACTCTACGAGAGGACACTATATACAAGATTCCATGAAGTACCTTCCTATACCTTTATCGAGGCACAGGAAGCCCAATTTTATAGATGCAAGTGAAAAGTATTGAACAAAAAGTGGGAAACACAAATTCAATTGCTATCTAAAGAGCTCCTGGCTTTAGTTTTCGACACCAGATCGAACTGGATTTTAYAGAAGTTGATTTTTGCGATGACCGAAAAACCGGAGCAAAAATTTGGAGCACACAGGGAACGGGAACTGATCACCGGGCGGTGCAGGGTTATCAGTTAAAGTTTTATCACAGGAAAAATAACAGAGTGGACAGTTAGAGTGCAAACAATTAATCCGTGAAACAGTAATTACTAAATAGTACAAAATAGTGCTAATTAAACAATAGAAAACAATGGAATTTGCATGAAATTGTGCATTTAGTATAACTAAAGTTTCTCAAAACAGGAGATAACTAGCAAGTAATTTTATTTTGAAAACGTTTTGACTGGGTGTATATGCAGGGTTGCCCTAGGGTGATTTACAGACCAAGTGAAATCACTCTAAAAAGTGTATACTCACACCGGTAGGCAAATATTTCATTTTTAATATTAATTGGAATATATATTACATGATTTATGCCATTTCTAGTTAACATTTCATTATTTTATTTATAATTTGGTAAAATTCGAAAAATAAACCTACAATAATGCAATAAAAATATTTCATAGTCAGCGGTACGATGATGAAATGTTGTCACGCATTTGAAGCACATGATTTTCTCGATCTTTATTCAAGACAAAACACATTCACTCGATTCTTCTTCTTCTTTCTCCTCATCATTTCCAACTTCATCCTTCTCCTCGATTATTTTATCWTCCTCGCTCGTACTTGTTCGAGGTGTTTGACGAGCTGGTTCCACGGTGGGGTTACTGTCTTTGCGCTCAGGGGTCTTCGCTTTTRCAGCTGTGATGGCATCCGCTACGGTCTGGAACTGAGGCTTTTGAAGACTCAGAAACAAACTATAACCAATACTGTGGAAAGACGCATTATCATAGTAACGTTTATAGAGTACAAACCATATATAATAATACAAATAATGATGGCAGGTTTTTAGCACATCTGTTTCTGTTTCTTTTGTTTCCAATCYAGATTAATTCATTGGCGCTATTTTGTACTAATTAGTTTTTGTACTCGTTACTAACGTTTTGGGGCCAACTCAGAACTGCTAAAGTGCACGAATTTTGTTTTCTTAAACACTGCTCAATTGCAAACTAACTTAGTGTTCTAAATACAGCACATAGAAGTTGAGACTGATAGGTATTCTGGGAAATTAATACATACTCTGATGTATGTATTTGAGATACACAGTCGATATAAAACATGTGTTAAAAGCCTCCATGCTTTCCGTCAGTGAAACAATTTATTTACATCCCAAGAACTGTATCACTAGGACTAGATACATCTAATCAACATACTTCCATTGTACCATTTTGGCTTCTATGTTTTTGAACCTCTTGCAATAAGCCTGAAGCGAGATGACGTTTTACCCCCGTCTCTAGACCATAATCCTTTTCACATTGCTTTTGTTCTTTTATTATGACTATTGTTCCTGTATTCTCTAAGGAATCAAAAAWTTTAATATGAAAGACTTTTAAAAACTATTATGGTATAGAGTCGGGGGTAAAACGTCATCTCGCTTCAGGCTTATTGAGTGCATACGTCAGATCTTCYCAATATACAACTTTCAAGAAATAATGACGTCGAAGATAAAGACAAAAAAAAAGTCTTACCACTCTCGTTCGCTCCAGGCTTCTAAAGCTTTTATTCCCTCATTTAATCGACTTAGTGCCTCGGTCGTCACATCTTTGAGTGTGATAGCCTTATTGATGCATTCTGCAATGGAATTRGCGTCACGCAATACTAGGGCCAAAAGAAACCACCAATCATAGCATGAGGCCTCGATAAAGATTTTTAGGAGAAATCTGCGGACAAACAAATTTGAATTAAATTAAGAAAAAAAGARCAAGAACAGCGCAACCCCTCAAAAAATGCCTGTGTCTATGTGTGTGTCTAAGGAAAGGGTGAAATTATATTGCAAAACATGAATACGAAAGGGGCCCGAGACTACACCSCCTAAGCCAGATCCTTCCGATCCTCTCTGCGGTCCCTAAATTGGATGGGCTYGTACTAATTTTTTCCCATTTCTTAGATATTAACGCTGCTTTCCTCGAAGCCAACAATCCATGTGATGAACGCATGCATAGGAGATAATTTTCCAACAAACTCCTTAGCTTACCTCACTTCTTTTAACGACTGTTGACATCCACTAAATGCTAACTGTTCTCTTATTTGAGCAATATCAATGAATCCAATCTCCTGGCCGCCCCACACGTACTCCTCATCAGCAGAACACGCCAACGAGCTCGTTTCTGATTGAGTTGCACTGAGACGGTCGATTTCTTCAACTAAAAGAATATTACATGTTGAATCTTGTAGTATCAAATTTGTCAAAACTATGAGAAAAAGTAAGCAACGAACAGACCCTATACTATAGGCAGGTTAAGGTTAAGGTAAACTTTATTTAGGCAGGGTGGCCCATTCAGCAACTAGGCTGGTATCCAGAGGGGCCCTGCTTCTAATATATTCTAATTAYAATAGCAAAAAGTTATTACAAAGCCAATCGGTTTTTTAAGACTAAGGTCATACGTCGAACTTCTCATTAGCCGAACCTAATGACATCAAAGAAGAGCGCCTTGCTATCCGTTGTTGCAATTAGGTTCGGCTCATGTGAAGTTGGACGTTTGACCTGAGTCTTAGGTTAACTGAGAAGTTYAAAGAAAATAGCAGTCACGTCATACCTCTAGGCGGATGCAAGTGCGCCGTCTCTTCGATCTCGTGTCCTTCTTCGATGTCATCAACAAGAGCATCATCGTCGAGACCTTGTCGGCTGCTACGAGTGCTTGACGAAGATGCAGACGCAAGACGACCTGTTAAGTTATTACTGTATCATTAGAGAGTTTAAGATCCTCGTTTACGGCAAACGTGAAACGTCAGTTGACCATTAAAAAATTCTTTAAAATTGGCGAAAAGGAATCGCAAAAATCTCCAACTAGTAGATAAACAAAAGAATACTTGTCTTTGTCGAGAAGGTTTGCAAAAGGTAAAGTGAAATGTAGGGAAATCGTGGTCACGTTTGCCGTTTGCGGGAATAAAAAACGTGAATCTTAATCTGCCTATTATAAAAGTCGTTCCCTCAGAAGCACCAGATATATACATAAGGGGAATAAAAGAAACTGGACTTTAAGTGAAAGCCTAGAAATGCACTAAACATCTGGGCCCGGTCGTACAAAGGGTGGATAGCGCTATCCTTACTGATAAATCCTTATCCAGTGGAAAAGTCAATGCTTTTATCCAATCAATGGAAGGTTTTCCTAACCCTAAACCTGATCTTTGTTTGGGTGATCTTCATWACTTTTCAATCCCTTTTTCTACCTTCATTTGTACTTACTGATTCGTGGTCCAGGTTGGTGTGATTGCGGTGACTGTACAGTTATGGTGGGTTGGGTGATGGATGGCAGTTGTAAATCAAATTGGCGATGAACGAAAAGTAGTGTTTGTACGTAGCCTTCTACTCGTGCAGCTCGATTTCTACAATAAAATTATAAGAATAAAATCAATCAAAAATTTCTTWAAAAGGATTATACTCTTAATAGTGAATGCAAGGGCGTGACCGTCGTAAAAAAATCAAAATAAACAAATGTTGATAACAAATATAAAAGAAATAAAATTCCAAGAGTTGTCTTACCTTTCTTTTACGAGCCATGGAACTATTTGAAAATCAACGTGTGCAGAAAAACGACCAAGATCTCGCAGCCTATTGGMTGATAACAATAAACGCGCATGTCTGTTGAGGATGCTGTCAATGAAGTAGTTTTCTGCTGAATCGACGTCGCAACTAGACCTGGAGGAGAAATGGAATTAGTTATTTAAAGATTGGAAAACGTAGATCAATTCAGTTGCCTGGCAAGTAGGCGCGCTCGAAGGATGTTTCTTGAAGTGCTACCACGTGACCAAAAAATCCCCTGAGATATAAATAATAATAAAGCAGGCGTCATCTTGGTTGATCCAACCTTAATGAGAAATGCTTTGTATAGTCAACTAAGATGGCGGCTTTGACGTAACATGCACTCCAAAAATACTCGATTTTCATCTGTGGTGTAAGTCTCGAAGCGCCCGTAATCTTCTCGACTTACATTTGGGTGAGCAGGAGGAGGGGAGGCTGGGGACGAATGAAAACTCCACGTGTAAAACCGAGCTTGGCGGGAGGATACAAGACTAGACAAGCGTCAAAATCAATGACTAACCTCGCGTCCGCTGACGAAACTGACCCACTCTTTGAGCGACTGACGCTGTCATGTGAACTAGGCTTTGGTGTCTTCTCCAGAGACTGTGTTCGTGCCGAATGAGTTTTGTCGACTGAACTTCCTCTTGATAGGGTCCCGCGAGTTGTAGGCTTTGACCCGCGGGACTGAGGGCTTACCGAAAACGAGAATGCCATATCTTCATCGTCAACTGTAGTCATGGTAGGRTGAGGTGGGGAATGTAGTGGCCTACAAGTGGGTGTTCTTGGTGGCGAGTCTAGTTCTCCTTCGCTGATACACCGTAAAAATCGTACAAGATCCTTCGAGGTCTGTGGAAAAAAAAAATATATATATATATTCTATTAATATACAACAACGGTAGTTTTCCTTTTTATTCTCATATATTTTCATTCAACTCACCTCCCATTGGCATAATTCCAAAGCTTTGTCCAAAAGAATAGTTGCGTGCTAATGACAAATAAGAAGGTTTAGTGATCATCACCATTGCCACCCATTGATATTGCTCAGAAGGAAATTCATCACTCATCATCATCATCATCTTCACTATCAATATCATCATTATCATCAGTATCATCCTCAACAACATCATGAAGTCAGCATTATCATCATCAACAGTTACTATCAACATCTTCATCGTCATCCTTACTATCAACATCGTCATCCTCAACATAATGAAGTCATCAATATCAATATCATCATCATCATCATCACCATCACATCATCATTATCACCATCATCATCATCATCATCATGATCATCATCACCATCATCATCATCATTATCACCATTATCATCATCAACATCATCATCACATTGCTTTTCACCTGTTTGCTGACGGTAGGATGTTCGAGGTTTTGCAAGATGATAAGGTATGACGCAGCAGTTTGAAGGCGACCAGAACTGAGGCATTCCTGAGATATCAATCATATTAACTTAACAGCAAAGCCAGCACATTAATGATGGTCAGATTTCTATTAGAGTATTTATTTTCAGTCTTTATCTACAACAACCTTTTTATAACCTCATATCAATACTACAACTACCAGAATCCCTTGCCGCACAAACTATACGTTTTCTTGTTTACATAGCATCATCTGCCTAATATTATTCCCATCAGACGATAACATTTGTGAATAACAATTGCGAAGTATTATGGTAGTTTTGCAGTAGTTAAGAATGACGCCAAACCTTAGCACTCAAATGGCATGCCGTACTTGGTACTTACCTTAAATAAATCTCTTGGGTTTCCAACAGCCGAGAACAAATAACTCCAAAGTGCTACCTCGGTCTTTCGGGCGCAGTGGACAACAGTCTCTAAGTACTGACGAAATTCTTGAATGAATCTCACTACCTGTGGAAGCATTGGGTCTGAAAACAAACGGCGAATAGATGAGTTTCTTGGAAGAAAAACAGCAATCAAAAAAGAGAGAAAACGCGCGCAAAATAGACATCGTTATATATAGCCGGTGCTTATTGTTTATCAAGTTTTACTTATTGGCYCATTTAAGTTAACTGAAAAGAAACCCCTTATAGCTTCAGTATTTACCAATCTCAATACGTCCAACCTTTTTTTAAAAAAAAAAATTTTTACTGGGGGAGGAAAACCGGAGAACCCGGAGAAAAACTCTCGTGGCAAGGTATAGAACAACACATCAAACAAACTCAATACATATATGAAGTCCGCAGGGCTCGAACCAGCGACCCGACCCGTTGGACTCACCGCCAGCAGTAAAGGACGACACATTAGCAGCGTACGTCATCCATGCCACCCTTTACCGTCATACCTGGTATGGGTTCAGAGGCCGTGGCTTCTTCTTCCAGTACTTCATGAAGCATCAGTTCAAGAACATGTGGGAAGTATGGGAGATCTGTACATGTGTTGGCAATTTCGAGGGCTTGTTGGCCAAGGCTGGTAAGGACAGAAATTCGTGCATTATATATTGGGTTAATTTCATAAAACATTGCATATTCATCTTTAGCTTGGAAATAGCCCACTAATATATGAGAACATCACATTATTTCAACAAAACCCTAGCTTTACTTCTCTTTGCAGGATTAGAAAAAGTCATTTTCCTGATTTTTTCCCGTTATACTTGAGTAATCTGGGAAAGAAGGCTTTGCCGAGGAGCAAGTAAGATCCARTGAGATACCAATTTTAAACAATCGATAAGAAATGGAATTACAAGAGCATAACAGCACAGTGATGTAATATTATGTAAATTAAATATAAGGTGGAAAACTAGTGAAAACTAGTGTAAATTAAATATAGAAGTGTGCGTAAATACTAACTTTTTTCGTAAGAGCTGCCTCAGCACATGGTGAAGATAGACTTGAGTCTAAGAATTAAATAACAAATTAGATCAATCATCATCAATCATGTCAAGACGTTGAAGAATTCAGTGTAATATGAGATATAGACCCTTTGCCCTGAGCCCCAAGAGGAATCATTGTGGGACAAAACAATGGAATTTTTCATTATTATTATTATTATTTTGCCTCAGAAAAGAGGTCCTATTGTTTTGTCCCCAGAACAATTCCTCTAGGAAATCAATGCAAGGGGTCTATATTGGATATTAAAGGGCCTTGTCTTACTGTTCTTTCCAGGGTACAGAATGGAAAAGGTTGAGGTGACAAGGAAGCAGGGTTTGGTGACATGCAGTCTAAAGGCATAGGTTCGTTTGCAGCACCCAATACCACGGCATCTTGAAATAACACAGCTAGTAAARAAAGGAAAAATATTACATAATTTCCTTTGCGCAAATTACGACTTATTCTGTAACTGACCGTTTTTTTCTCTGTCTGAATAAAGCAACTGTACCACATGTACCATTCCTTCAAGTTGGTTCCYTGGACGAGTTGAAAAAAGCGCAAAAGGAAAGTGCAAATAAGCGCGCACATTTGCAAGCCTTTAATACATGTTGATACTGTTGTGGCATACATTACTTTCTATCCTTACCTAAGGGGTAAATATTCAGTTGAAAAGGTAACATCACTCTTTTGGACAAGAAGTTGGGTGGTTTTTGATCATTACCAGGGAATAATGGTAACCAAACCTACGATAAATGACACAACGGTCATAAAGACATATAATATATTGGTGGTTTTTACAGCCGCCATGTTGAATGAATTTAACAAAAGATTCGTCATTGGTCTCTTTTGTTATATCATCCAACATGGCCGCCGTGTCTTTTGTTATTTCATTCTCTTGGGAATAATTAAAACCAGCAGTATAAACATAAATGTCACGTGACTATTTTCCGCCATGTTGGATGTCCAGCGTGACAATTGGAAACGCAATGCTGAGACGTTATTAGATTAAACTAATACAACATTTTCCATACATCGGTTCACTGGTCAAACACAAAGCATTCAGTCGAGGTTGCAAGGTTTAAATTTGAATAATCCTTTGAAAGTACCTTGAGGCCTCGCTTGAGCGCTTTGTGTTTGACCAGTGAACCAATGTATGGAAAATGGTGAATCATATTTATGAGTGGACAAATGGATCATGATTGTAAAGAAAGCTGATCACCTTCATCCCCTGTGCACCACAGCCCAACCACAACGCYTCCATTAAATGTCTTTTATTTACACTTGATGTCGTGGAGGTCCAAATATTTTCCACGCAAGAYGCGAGAATCACCGGCAGACAAAACGGCGCCTGAAAACGTTTCAAAGAGGTGAGGAAACTAAAACTATTCTATTTCATTGAACATTCATTAGTATTCTTAAAGAAACATTAAGTATTATTAAGGAAGAATAAATTATGCAAATATGTCATTTGGCGCGAACCGGCGTGAAGGAAGGATTCGCACTCATCCGCCTACCCTTCCGTTTGCTCATTGGCTTGTCCCCACGAACTTGCTCGTCAGRCCTTAATTAATGCTAATGAGTAAGCAGGATGGATAATTAATGCATGGAATACAATGCTGATAGGTTTGTTGGCCGAACCTTTTTAGACTTTTTGTCTTTCTCAGGACTTGCTTTGTCCTTCTGAAGCATCAATAACCAGCCACCGACATTTGCTATCAAGGATTCTAYTGCCTCAAGACCGTCTAGGTTACCGGACTCTACATTAACAGAAAAAAATAACATTAAATTAAAGTAAAGTAATTTCAACCAAACCGATACAAACCAAGCATATCACCACCTAAATCAACCCCTAGGCTGATCTAAGTATTGGGGACTGTCAGTTATATCCGATTAATAGTAAACAATAGACATTTTCATCCAGATTTSCTTGAGTTACCATGAAACAAATGCTATAAGTTAAGGTTGGACTTCATAAAATACAGTAAATTWATAAACACTGGTCAAGTGCACCCTCGACTTGGAGCCATTGTTTCGTGGTCACTCAAGCAAATTCAACACAGTACTGTCTTTAAAGGGACACTTGGATGAAAACGCCCCGATTTTTGAAAGTCCGAATAATTGAAGTATTCGAGGATAATATGACTCAATTATGATTATGAAAATCAGATGAGTGAAAATTTTAGCCAGGGAGCCACTCGCTGTTGAGATATGGGTTGAGTAAATGACGCCATTTACTCACAATTTAGATGCTGAATAAAATTGATAATTTTTACCCGCCACTTTTGAATGTGAAAAAGATATGTTACCTGGCTACTATCTGGGCCATATAGATAAGTTTAACCAAGTTTAAAGTCATTTCTAATTTTCATTGATTTTCATCCAAGTGCCCCCTTAAATGAAATAGGTTGCTATCAATAGACGTCACTTCCAGTAATAACTGCTTTTTTAATGGCTTGTAAAATCTTGGAGGTTGTTTCAATTTCTTGTTTTCCGGTTTCATGTCGCATACAATAGCTTGAGGACTTATTTTGACCTGTTTTGACTTAACATCCGCTAGTTGTCCCTCAGTCAATCGCTTGTTTGCCCCCCAGTCAACTCCAAAAGAGTCACGTGATTGATAGTAAGCAATTAATTAAAGAAAGCAAAACCAGGTAGTACATACCTGAATACTGTGAAGTGAGTGTCACGTGGATAACAGCTAACGGGTGAGGCACGTGATTGGCTAATGAAAACTCTTGAAGTCGGCTTACTAATATGCTTGCGTCTGTTGGGAAGGAATACWAAGAATATGCATGCTAATAATATGCAGGTTAATACATAGAGCCGATGGAAAGGCAAATAAGTCAAGGTATTTGGTCATCAGACTGCTGGCTTTTAATCGCGATGTTTTCTTTTAAGAAATTGGGWTACCTGTGGGATAAAAAGCTAAGGATTCGAAAGAAAGTTTTCAGTAAACGAAATTGTGGTAATTGGTKGTACTCACCAGAACTACTAGTCTTTATTCGTTCCAATGAGTAAAACACGACTCTACAGTCTGAGCAGTAGACGAGAAGTAAATCCCTAAAGACGTTCACTAGAAAGGCTGGCGCAGGAAGCTTTACGCTAACAGCAAATGCATTGTCAAGATTAGAAGTACGGGGATAAAACCGGACCTGAAAAAAGAGGAAAATCATGATGGCATATTTCCCAATAAACAAGAAATAAAGAAGGAAGGAAGGAAGGAAGGAAGGAAGGAAGGAAGGAAGGAAAAAACAAACAAACAAAATATTAAATTAAAGGAAAAGACCTGTACAGCATTACTTAAGAATAGTATTTCCGTCATCCCACATTTATTAAACGTCATTTATTGCAATTTTTCCAACTTACTTCATCACTACTTGAATGACTGTTGTAACWTGGAACCACGATGAAATCTTTCCACCAAGCTAAACCACCACGACAGATTATAGTTTGTTCCTAGTAAAGACATCAAAAAAAGTGATCGCTGTATTTTTTACATGATATACATATTAATATATATAATTTGCTTRCTTTTTCTAATGCTGCATACGAATGATACAATAAGGCGAATAATTGTTTTAGTATTTCTAATTCAAGTGAATTCAATAAATAACGGGGAGAGAGTGTGTTTTTTTTTTTTTTCAAATCTTATTTATCTATGCAAGCAGTAAAAATCGACAAACGAGCGAGCGTGTGCAGATTATATTCACCTGTAGGTGAATATAACAGCACAATGCGTTAATTGTGACCAATGAGTGCGCCGGATTTACTATATTCACTTGTGTAAAAATACTAAAAGTTAATAATGAGTGAATAAAGCAAGCATAAAAATCGTCAAATAATACTTAGTCTAGTAATAGGTTTTGACTAGGAAGGGAGCAAATAACAATGGTAAACTGGTGGTAAGTAGTAATTAATGAACAAAAAATAATACTGGTGTCGGTGTCTGTGTAATGGATTTACCTGTGAGATGTTACCAAAGAGCTTCCATTTCCTGGTAAGCAGAGCATAGTGAGCAATACCTGCCTTGCCTGCAATAGCAACATGTGAACCAGTTGGATGAACAGCAGCATACTGTAAGAAGAATTGCAAAACAACGTCTTGAGCAACAAGTATATGTATGGTATCATTTCTTTCTTCTTCTTTTTTTTTGTTTCTTTTCTACTTTTCTTTCTTCCTTCCTTCCTCTTCTTTTACTTTCTTCTTTTTTCTTTCGTTTCTCTCTCTCTCTTTCTTCTTACTTTTTTCTTAGACTTTTTCTTTCTTACTCTCCTTTTTTCCTTTCTTCCTTTCCTCTTACTTTTTACTTTTTTCTTTCTTTTCTCTCTCTCTCTCTTTCTTCTTATTTTCTAGTTTCGTTTTTTCTTTCTTTCTCTCCTTTCCCCCATTCTTTCTCTAATAATAGTAAACATATTTCATGGCTGAACAGAATTAGAAATGGTTAAAATCCACATACCCTTATAGGCCAGTTATTTTCCAAATAATTCACAGGTATCTGAAAAAAATAATGAAACAGTATTGATTTAGCCATCGCTAGCAAAACACAACGACTACAGAGCAATATGTTTGGAACTTCAGGGTGGCTAATCACAACCTACTAATGGCCCTGATGGCCTAACAAACACTTTTTCCCAACCCTAACTCACTTGTATAATGATCCACTGTTTGTTACTGACAAGAGTACTTGGTCCTACAGATGAACCAATCAATGGTGTTGTACCATTTTCATCTGAAGAACCAATCGAAGTGGTTGTACCATTCTTGCTAGTATTTCTAAAATTATTGGTACAGTCACTGACCATTTCACCRGTATTGAGATATAGACTGTCTTCACTTTGAAGAAAAAGGTGGCGATGATTGCTCTGGAAAAAATGAGTATGCATGTTGGAATCATTGTGATTCATGAATTTAAAGTCGTTTCCCTKTGCTGTAGTGAGCCAGCCCGTACCGCTCGGAACGAGTTACATGATTGGATTAAAAAACAATAGAWTGGTCAACCAAACWATAGCACTAAACCTAMCCTTACAAAAGCGGTACTGTACTTAGGGAGCAATGAAAATCTAGCTTTCAAGCGGTACTGGATTACTCGCTGTAGTTGATCTCAATAATAAGGAAATGACAACACAATACTATTTGCTGCTAACTATTGTCTTAATAATATAATAGCTAAGCATTCTCACCATRCAAGGATTGACAGCTAGTGTACTTTTTACAAACTGTAACTGCATGATATCACCTGAGAAAAAATTGAAAATGAAATATTGTGTGACTTGTATGTTGAATGAGTCATCATAAAAGTGCTTTGACTGTATTTTAATACGTAAGCAATATCATTCTGAGCACTTCCTGTCATTATTGCACACAAGGTGGCTGAGAAAGTACAGCCAGTATTTTACGGGAGGTGAGGGGAATTCAGTTTTTTACCTACCAGTACATCCATTATCTTCTTCTGACGACACCATCACCAGGTTGTACCCCTCTGGTCCCCAGCCCTACCGCACAAAATAATTCAGTCTCAGTCTCAATGTTTTTGGACACAAATATATTTAATATTTAATAGCCTCATTCCTGGAAGAATGTTTCCTTTAACTCACCATAGACTTGACATGAAATGGATTGTGCAAAAATGCTTCCTGAGAATTTCTGAAGTTTAGGGAATCAAAAAGGATAAAAATTGATTGAATTATGAGGAAATTTGTGGTTTTTGGTCAAACTGGTCAAATGAATGGAAACAACCATTTAAAATTAACTTTTCACATTGTGTAGGTTTTGGAACAGGCACTTTTGGCTACTAGTGGTCATTCACCAAAACACCACAAGCTACTCAGCCAATCAGATAGCAGGATTTGTGATAGACCATTACTAGGTTTCTACTAACAAAATAAAGAATGTACAGGGACTGTGGAACAACCTTAAAAGTGTGTGTGTGCATGGGGGAGGGGGGAGCTTAGATTGAGAGTACATAGTATGGGAAAAATTTGGGGGATGGCTAAGATTGGAAAATATTATAATAAGACACTAGGTAGGGGAAAGGGAAAAAGTAGGGGGGGGGGGCTAAAGACTTTTAACTTTCTTCTCGGATATCCAGATTTAATTAAAGGCTGCATGTACAGTGTAGGCTATATAATTATATGCAATATCCTAATATTTGCAAGTTGTTCTAACAATAGTTACTCCCCCCACCCCCCAGGAAAAAATACAAAACAATTATTTACCCATAGTCTCCTCCTAAAGTACACATCAAAAGAGAACCAAAAACACTCCAGACAGCTAACCCTCCATGGGATGTCCATGACCAGGAAACAGCCAAAGCACAGCCATCTGGTGTCCAGGCCAGACACTGAACACCTCCTGTACTTTGAATAGCATCTATACAGCCAGATGTTAAGGATGACAGCTTTGTATACCTCTTGGACATAATGTGCTAACGGACTACTTTGATGATGGCAGCAATATTGTCGAAGTATTCTAAGTACATTTAATTTTGTATTAATTAAAAATACAATTATCCAAGCTAGAGCCAGAAAATGGAAAGACTAATTAATTAGTAATGTAAATTTACTAAACTATGTTGAGCTGCATCCCTTTCAATCTAACATCATGAAAYTAAAGCAACCAGAAAAGATGACAAGGCACCTAAAATTAACCTATTTAATAATACATATTAGACATGGTGCAAGTGAATATGACACTCTCATTGGTCACAATTTACTTCTTATGCTGTTACACACCCACGCTTGCATCTCAGTAAATATTCCCCAGGGCCATAACCAGAACTTTTACAGGGAGGGTGCACATCGAATAAAATTGGACCATTGATCGTTTCTTTTGAGAAAGCAGAACCAAAAAAAAAAAAAGGTAACCAAAAGAAATCAGAACCAAAAAAAGAAGATGGATGAGCAGACCTTAAGCTTTTATGGGGGGTGCATGTGCACCCTGTGCTCCCCCCTTGTTATGGCCCTGTTCCCTGATATTCACTTTGCCTTCAGCAAATAATYGTTAAATGCTGTGAAACTGTACTTGCAAATGGTACACATTTCAGCACACATAATGTACATCAGTGATAAATAAAATTGTTAAGGATACCAGGATAGTCCTTGCTGGATAGTACCAGGGTRTGAGATAGTTCTAAGGCACCTGTTGTGTCATCAAATCCATACACTAGACTTGCTCCACTGAACAACAAAGACAAAAAATATTGATAAATACATGTAGTAGAGTTGATCTTGGTATTAAAGGTGGTCTCACTGGTAGTAAAGCACACAAAAATCACCTCTGGGATCTTAGATTGAATTAGACTGCTGGATGTAAGAGCATGAAATTAAGCCGTGCATTTGTTAGTGAGAGAAAATTGTTGGGCCTGATCTCCATCAATGCAAGAGTCTTTCTTCTATTCTCAGGGTGTTCTAAACTAGTTTTTCTCAGTCTCCATAAAACCCAATGACATACTATTACAATTTCAATATTCATCTGATGAGGTCTACCAAGCATCCTGGCTTAGATCCGCCTTAAATTTGTTTCAGCCAAGCTTTGACAAAATTGGTAATCATGTACATAATTATGACCAGCCACTGAAAGGTATTGGTGGACAAACATCTGACTACTGGCCATGCGTTGGCGTACAACTTGACCAACAGTCAGGCAATCATGGCCAACACACAGCCGATAGTCGGCCAACACATGCTTAAACTTAAACTATGTAACTTATTTAATAATAATAATAATAAATATTTATATAGCGCCTATCCAAATCTGCTCTAGGCTCTTTAAACAAAAAGAAAAACCACAAACTGTGGTAGGCTGTGAGCTTTGCTTGGCGCCTGTGGCTGCCGCATTTAATGCTTTTTTGAGTCTTGTGARCTGATGCTTATRATAAAAAATAAATTAGCTAAATCGTTACTGTTCTGGGAACAGTAAGTTGTACTTGATTGGTCATGCATACAGGTTAGTATTTCTGTTATCTAATCTATGGATCTAGATTGCCCATCAAAATGCTTGATAATCAAAACTTCAGACATGTAGTGACTTACTTGGTACAACCAAAAACTATCAATCTGTAACGATGGTTTATTGCCACACAAGTTGCAGAATCAAGATCTCTTGCCCACACACCTATCATTTCCTTCAAAATAATGGTTTCAAAAAGAACTTTTTAAAGATAAATGGTCTGTGTGAAAAATAGGAGAATAAKAAAACAGATAATCAACAAATCAAATTCTTACAGCAGGTTCAAAGTTGGAAGTTTCAGCAGAGACAAATCCTCCTCGTCCATCAGCCAATACCACAGCAAAACCGCCCAGCAAAGGGCTGTATTCCATGGCTCTGAAGCACACACCTTCTAACTCTAGTGGCACAGCTACAACATCAATTAAAATATATTGGTACAAATGTCACATGCCAGATTCACGCCGCATACAATTTATATACACGAAGTCCCCCACCAACAATTGTCAACCTTTTAGTCTGCATCGGATATTCCWTTTGATAATATTTGTGAGAAACAAATTTATGAAAGGATGTTGACATGTGAGGAAAGGAATGCAGAATAAGAGTCTGATGACYGTCGGTGAAGTTGTAGACATTTGGAGGTGCATTCAATCGTTAAATCMCTATTTATAATGCTTCAGATATTATAGTTTGATGAACAGTGGTCTATTAGTTTACTAAGTTATCTTGGCATTATAGAAACATTGAGACAGCAAAGTGCTCTTAACAATACACAGTCATTGATAACTTCAAGTATGATGCCATGAAAAATTCAATCTAGAGAGCATTCATTTTTTTACGGGGAAGGGGGAATATATAAGAGAACCTTGCGGGAGGCTAAGAAAATAACTATGTAGGCTCGAGAGAGGAGCCATGCAAAAGAATTTGTTGTACAAATTTTTTTTACAATTAAATATGTTGTGATAATGAAAATCAATGATAGGGCCATATGTTAAGTGTATGCTACATCCAGTGTATAAACAGATTTAAAAATATACACTCGATGTAGCATACACTTAACATATAGATCYTTACCAAGTGGCAAAAACACATTTCATAAATGATAGGGCCATTTTTTATGCAACAAAGGAGAGGTGGGCGGATCAAATTTCTCATATGGGTTACTAATTAATGGTCCCTTATGTACAGTGTACCTCTAATATTCTGCAAGTCATTCGTAAAAGGAATGGAATGGACAGGCATGGAGTAACTGGACTCAAGGTATCCATCCCATGTGATCCTGTGAAGGAATCCTTTTCCACTGCATACAAACAACTCATCTTTTCTTGGGGCAAAACTTTAAAAAAAATACAGTAATAATAACACGCWTAAGAAATCTCAAGAAAATTATTCTAAAAACATCAGGCTACAGGCAAATGAACAGCTCATTATTGAACTAAGTTAATGCAAAATATTTTGATTTGTTAGTGCCCTGATAGTAATTATTTGCCTTTGCCTTTGGCAACCTCAACCTTGTCCGACCAATAATTGTTTATAATTGGTTACCCATGTATAAGTATGTACAGTATCACCCTGACCTGCTCAAATTATTAGATATAGAAATATAGATGAGTTATAGTGCTTGGGATTGAGGTTATTCCGGGCGAAAGACCCTTGGAAATAAATTTGGAAAAATTAATTTCCGACCTCGCTGGGAATCGAACCCACGACTTTCAGAATTGTACTACCGATGCTCTACCAGCTGAGCTAGAGGTCAGACTGAGAGCAGCCCAGGGTGTAATAGATGTTAGGTCGCGGTAATTATGATGCAAAGATGAGAATATGTGGACCACGTAGCACTTATGAAATACAAGATATAGGTTGTGGGTTTGATTCCCAGCGAGGTCAGAAATGATTTTTTTCGAATTTATAACTTATCTATATTTCTATATCTTGTATTTCATAAGTGCTAGTTCAGCTGGTAGAGCATCGGTAGTACAATTCCGAAGGTCGTGGGTTTGATTCCCAGCGAGGTCGGAAATTAATTTTTCCGAATTTATTTCCAAGGGTCTTTTGCCTGGAATAACCTCATTCCCAAGCAMTATAACTTATCTATATGTCTATATCTTGTATTTCATAAGTGCTACGCGGTCCACATATTCTCATCTTTGTTCAAATTATTGAAAAGTACTACATCTACTAGTGATACATTTATTGTAAGGCCGTTATRCCAGGTATGATTTTTCCTCACGACTGTCACACGCAATATGCTTACCTCAAGTTTTAGCTTTTATTGCAGTCAATACATTATAAGTAACTTGTACAGTTTGATTTACACAAAGCAATTTGTGTTGTCAGCATGTTATGTGTGAAAKTTGTGAGAAAAAATCATACAATGTAAATCGGCGTTCAGAAAAATAATGAAATRTTTTACCATGTGACATCTCCAGTTATCGTGATGATGGAAATCTCAACCAGCTTGATTGCCGGTACTCCATTTTGATAAGGACTTTGATAATGATTGGATGAGCTGGAAGGGAAATAGATTGGACTCTGGGCAAGGGTTCTGTTTTTCTTGTGAAAATTTCAGATTAAAWACGATATTTGAACTACCACACTGTAATTTACCATGATTGACACGAAAGTCTCRACAGGGAAATAGTCCCTTTCACAGTTCCTGCGTCATGTTATGAGRCAGCTGTGCCTTTGTATCAAGGCGAGATGAACGGTGAGCTTGCAGTAACAGATACAGTATCTTTTTTACACCTTGGACAATAATTCACCTTTTGAGTGCTGTTCCRTGGATTGTTTAGCTCTCTAAATACAAGCAAAATATCATTTCTCTAACTGGATTGAAGCTCTCTTACTGCTAAAGAAGTAACTAAAAAGTAACGAAAGAAATTGGTCTGAATTATCTTTTCAAAATTCAATAAATTTGTATGGGAATCCGGAAACCTTGTCAAAACTTTGTGGTGACCATAACACAGTCCAACGTGTTTTGGGCTAGCGCTCAAAAGGTGGACTTTTTACGTCTCTATCATTGCAAGATAACTGTTTGTCTYGCTTCAGCACAAAGGCATGGCTTCATTTCAATTCCAGAGGGCGCAGGTAACTGTGAAGGGTACTATTATTGGGCAACCAGACTTCCATCAACCAAATTAATCAATATATAGCATATAAAGTTACACGAGTAGCTATGCTACTTAAGGATTTATTTTATTAATGGTACTATAAACAAAATAATAAAAAAGTTAGTGGTAGACAAAACGAATGTGTTAACGAAAAGCATTTAACTAACCTCAAAATCTGTGACTTGTACAATTGCTGTTCGCTACTTCTTTGTAACTCTAGTAAAACTATCTTTCCTTCTGAAGTCTAGCAATCATATAATAATWATWATWATWRTGGTGATGATGAAGATGATRAAGACGATCATGATGATGATGATGCTGATGATGAGGGAGCTGGRCAGATGAATAAGCTTAACATAAATGTATAACCATAATATTCATAAAACTCACAGAAACAGCAATGACTGAGGAATCTGGCCTCCAGGCGACTGCAACATKTGTYCCAACTTCTTTTAGAGAACTTGGTGACCTTCTTATAGTAACAATTAAGACTCTTGGCTAATATTAAATGAAGAAAGGAAACAAAATCCTTCTTAGCAATKCAACGTGCAGCTAAACATGCAGTACTAGTACAAGTACATGTAGTTATAAAACAACGAATGGGCCATTACACGTGTATTCTTCAGGGATAAGTCATGAACAGCAGGGAATTACACAAGGATCTTCATGCATGTCTCCAGGAATTTAGGGGGTTCTTAAAAACTTAGGTCCTCAACGGGGGGGGGGAGGGGGGGAAGTTTGTGCAATAGCCAAATTTTAGTTCTCAGGAGAGCAGAATTCTATAACATTTGTCCTCTAAATAAAGTATAGGGGATATATTGGGAATATATTGGGCTTCTTTTCCTAGTACCGGAAACATTTTACATAATTCGATAGAAACAGCGAAATACCCCAAGTTTATAAATGATGGAACGACAGCTAGGAAATAATAAAGATTTAAAGAATGAGAAGAGAAACCACGTGATAAAATATACACTCTTCTTAGTTCAGCAAAGCCGTCTAGAGATGAATGAATAAATCTAACAAAACAGACTCAGAGCATATTAAATTTATTAAAAGCTTATGTGTACGTAGATGATTCTTACTCGATTATTCCACACACAAACACTGTGTGAAGAGATGACAGCGAGCAGTGATCGATCCCGATTATACTTCAACGCAGACAGCTCACCACATTCCACATCTTTAGGACTATAATATTTAGGCCATCCTATAGGAAAATACATATTTTTGAATATCMGTGTCTTCAACTCACGACTCGTCCGCCATCTTGGATGTTTTGACTCGACCCGGTTTTTCTCGATTTTTCTSCCCTCGACCTCGTCTTCGTGACGAGGCTAAAGTCCCTAGTTCCCAGGTTTTTGTTCGTACTCGGTCGTCAAAAATYAAGAGAAAAGTTTGTGGAGTTGAAGATATTTGAAGATCTCATGTTTCATTTCTCGTACTTTGTAGCGGATATTTCGCTTTATGCTAAACGTCTAATGTCAGCAACAGCTAAGCCTATCGTAATCTTTGTTCTTGGTGGCCCTGGGGCTGGGAAAGGCACTCAATGTGAAAAGATAGTTCAAGTAAGTGACTTTATATCGAAACCGTCACAGATTCGAAGCTAWACTTATTTTTTGTGTAGGGATTTATCTAAACATCTAGAAATCTAGATGGTTTCTTTCTTTCTTAGTTGAGCTTGTCTTATATTATTCCAATATAAGTTCGAAGTATGTTGAGGTTTGAATCCAATTTCGTTTGAATTCATTTAAATTCATGAAGTAGCCACGTCTCACGTCTCAATAAACGATGCCTTAGATCTTCTATGACATGGAAATTACTYCAAACTTTTCCCCAATTTGCTTTTAGCTAACAATCACGAGAATAAAGAGTTTAGAAAACTGGCATGGGGAAACGTTCACTTGATGGGACGATCAACTAGTTAAAGACTAGCACTTTAGATCCCTTTCGTAGCATAAACTATTTGCTACCCCGGCCCGCCTTCTATGGCAACCTTGCATGTTGGMCTGGCTATTGCTTTTATATGTCATTATGTTACTTGTACATACACAACCTTTAGGCTTCATGCTAGGAGTGTTWATACTGTTTTAATAGTCTACTAAATTTGTCTAGGAATCAGTCTACAAATCTTGACCTACTACAGTACCTACCCCCACCCCTGCTGCACAAGTAGTTAATTAATTATTAGTGAATAACCTTTGATTTGCTGAGAATTAATTTTTTTCAAAAATGAAATAAGTAAATGATTTAACAGTGGAATTTCCACATAAATATTATGCTGCGGTTCCACTTTGTTTGTCGTTGTTGTTGTTTTTTGTTTTACACTTGTTTTTACTCTGAATTTTAGTGTTGTGAATGGAACTTCTCATTGTAGACATTTCAATATTAGTGTTGTTGCCCTGATAATRCTGTTACTTACAAGCACTTTTACCACACAGTGTACCTAAACCACCCTAGATAGGACRGTTTATCAGTGTAACTCTAAGGCTAATTAGTTGATGTCTACTTCTTGACTTTAGCTAGGTTTTACTTGGTGTTTACACTAACAATGACAGTGTTTACTTTAATACTTGAATGAATGTCAATCAAGTAATTATGTTAAGTGTTTGATTGACAATGGTTTGTTTTCATATGATTTGATATTGGCTCAGTTTGATGATTATTTAAGGAATGATCGCTTGGAATGGTCAATGCTTAGCATTCTGAATGCATTGTTTTTCTAACATTACCAAAACCACAAAAGAAATTGTTCAAATATATTTTTTAAAAAAATCAAATTTTGTTCTGATGAAATCTCTATTACATGGTGCACTCTACAGTTCTCAATCATAACTTACCATCCATTTTTGGGATGCATGCTCACACATGCTAATTATTAAATCAGATTGGTGTTATATTGTGGCTATGTTATCATTTTTATATTTACAGACTTATGCATACATGTGATGATGTTAAGGCTATCTTTTTCTGGGACGGTAGACATAATGAGTCTATTTTTAACTTGTCTTTTCATCACTAAGTAAAATCATTTTAATTCCAGGAATATGGCTACAATCATCTATCTGCCGGAGAACTGCTAAGGGAAGAGAGAGCCAGTGGCTCTAAAGATGGAGATCTCATTGAGTCCTGCATGACAGATGGGAAAATTGTTCCTGTTGAAATAACTATTCGGCTGTTACAAAAGGTCRGATAAGAATAGACTACTTATTATAGAACATACAGTATGACTTGAAAATTTGAGCTCTTGAGCTATATRATATAGCCAGGCCAGTTTTCCAGTGAAAAAACCTTAAGGCCTACTTACACGGCACGATTTGCCGCGCGCAACTTGAYGTATACATGGTAGACATGATTATTTACTGCACTTCTCAACTGTGTATGGTGGCATTTTACAAGAAACATTTGCTGTAATGACGAGTAAATTGCTTGCGTTTTTTTGTGTCGCGTGCGACAAGTTGTGCTCGTGTAAATGGTACCAAAATTTGCYGTATACGTCAAGTCGCGCTCGGTAAATCGTACCGTGTAAATAGGCCTTAATATGAACTTTATTTTTTTGCTRAGATATAGATCTATATCTTTATGGATATATTTCAGGCCATGGATAAAAGTCCTATAAAAAAATTCCTGATTGATGGGTTTCCTAGAAATGAAGACAATCTACAAGGATGGGAGCGAGAAATGAAGGGAAAAGTAGATCTCAAGGCTGTATTTGTTTTCCAAGTTCCAGAAGATGTTAGTACACTTTATTATACTCATTACATTAGTTTGTTTTAAAAATATATTAAATCATGATTAATGAAAACTAACTTGTGACCCAAAAACCTATATTTTTTCCTGAATTTACATTACTGTAATAATTCACAAAAGCATTGGCATAATGGGGATATATTAGAGATACTGCATCTTACATGTACATACATATATATCAAGGGCAGATCCAGGGGGACAAAGCTAGGGGGGATGAAGCCCCCCTTCAGCAGAAAAACAAATCTGAAGAATTAGATGCTTTTTTTATTGTTTTCCGTTGTGTTGACGGAAGAAACTCAATTAGCCCCCCTAAGCTCAATAATATTAGTCCCSCCCTAAAATTTTGGCTGGATCCGCCCTTGCATATATTACATAATCTTTTATTATTAACATGTTGGTCTAATTCTAGCGTACCACTAGTAGTACACTAATCGGGAACACTAAACATTATAATCTATTTACCCCATGCATGCATATTTATGAATCCACTTCTATTGGTAATGGTTCATTTACTTTAGGTATGCATCAAAAGAATATTGGATAGAGGCAAATCAAGTGGAAGATCAGATGACAATATAGATAGTTTGCGTAAAAGGTATTATGCATGTACCAACCTGAGATCCTACACATAGCTAGACTTTCTAAAAGTCCTTTTTATTTATCTATTTTTGCTGGCACGAATGAGGACTTTCAAYTTCTGCTTAGCACCAAATTTTTCAACGGGTTTTTCCGTACTCGGTGTATGTGCTTATCAATGTAGCCAATGGGAACATTTTTGGAGCAGAGCAAAAATAAAATCCTTGCTAAAAGAAAACAAGTCTTCTACTTGTGACTTTGTTGCTCATATAGTACTTTGTAGATATGCTCGAAAAATTCAAGTCCCATGTTCTCATTGGTATGTGTTTTGGTAAAWATTAAACTGATATTCACTTTGCCTAGCATTGGAAAATAAATGTTTTAAAAATAATGCAAAATTTAGCTTGGCATCTTTRTTAATAAAATACTGTATGTAATTTACATTCATTTAAAAGATTAGATAACAAAAGGTTTGGGTCAACAAAGCTCATACTCTTTATGTTTGTTTTAGGTTTCAAACACACAGAAATTCAACCATACCAATCATAGAATATTATAAAAAATTAGGACTTGTTAGAACCATTTCTGGTCTTGGATCCCCAGATGAGGTAAGGTTTATATATATACCTCCTATAGATTGTATATGACAAAAACCATCTTAGAATTATTAAACAAGTGCTTTGCAAATTGTGTTTAAATTCATTCGTAATATATTAAAGCCAGCCCTAAAATCTTTCCAATGTTTTTCGTTGAGCTTTTGACCTAAGCATTCAGTATACCTTCTGTAGKGCTGAAGATGATCGCTTAGGTTGAAAGCTTGTCAAAATTATTGTTAAGTCTAGRGTTGAAGTAACTTTTAAAATATTAGAATGCATAGTTCTTATTCCACCTCTGAGGATAAAAACAATAAACTGGAATGCAATGTCTCTACTAAGTGATTCAATGAAGGCCAAACTCTACCAATACCAACACAATACCTCATTGTTTCTTATTATTGATTACAACATATACATATTTAGATTCTTCAATCTCCTCTAATTATAATCATTTAAACTTGACAGTGACATCCAGATGATGTAAAAATATTGTTCTTTTTTATCAATAGTAAGTTAGTTTTTATTGTGAAATATAGTCCAGTATTTTATTCTTTTAGGTGTTTCAGACTGTAAAGGAAGTATTCAAAACATTAGGACAATAACCCAATCAAGACGTTCAACAATCTTCTTATCTKATGTGATGGCACCTTTGGCTTTGGTACTTTTCTTCATCAAAAATGAGGAACACATATCACTCTAGATCTGATGGTAAAGCAGTGCTTAACTGAAACCTTGTTTTCAGCTATAGAATTTCAAATATTCCCTTTGCCTTTGTTTGCTTGTGCTCAAGAAAGAAGTAACTTAGGCTATGGGAATCAATTGTAGGAAAAGAAAGTTTGCCTTCAACAAAATGAAGAGAATAATTAGTTGATGATTTTAATAATGGTTTTTATATCAACTTGAAGCACATGTGGTCACATGTGTTTGTACAGTAGTATTAGCAAGGTTTTTTYATGATTGCCAAGTTGGGTTAAGACGTGAAATTAGTATATGTAATAGGGCTCCATGCTGTCCAATTAAGAAATAATAGGACGAGGAAAATCCGAGGATTGACAAAATTGGATGAAGCCCTAGGCCGAGTCCAATTTGGCAGTCAGAGGAATTTTTCTGAGTCTAATTATTTATTGATGGGAGAGCATGAAATTCCATTACCTATTAATTATATAGCTGCCTAATTAATCCTATACCAACAAGACCTGTCCAATCAAGAAAATAATTGGACAGTTACCTATATGGGATTAATGAGAAGCTGTATGATTATATGACTAAAACAGGTATTACTAAATAGACTTATATTCCATCTCATAATCATTTTCACAAGCTAAATAAATACTTGGGGAGGATGGGGGTTTGAAAATTCTAAAATACCATCACAACATAACAAATATTTAGCAATAAAGTAGTCTCCTCTAAGGCATCTACATTTATGACTTTGGACTTCCTGTGTTGGGAGTCATCCTCAGTTCTGGCCCCTTACGGAAGCCTTCAGTCCCCTCATTGTCTACATGGTTTATGCCAAAGGTTACCTGTAGAAGTGGCTAGCAATTAAGATGTTCTACGTTGTGTTGGTAGTGCAATTAGATAATGTTATTTTGTTTGTACTGTAGGTCTTGTATTTTTTCCTGAGGTAACCATCATATTTTTGAAGTGCCTCTGGACAYTTGTATTTGAAAATCTCTGATCAGGCATCACACTGTTTTTCTCAAATTTATAATTAGATAAATTAATAAGTAAATGTTTATTTAGAACAAACCAGGTAAATCACTACAACCATAAAAGTGGTTTGGATACAGTATCTTTTCATACTTACATAGCTAGCATAAAGCTTGGTCAACTTCTGCTTTAATTTTCTCTGTGAAATATTAATCTTTTGAGTAACCATGATGAAACATTGAGCAAATATTTTATTGGGACATTTTGAAGTACAATGTCTTATAACACATCTCTGTGTTTGGATAAACCGGATGAAATAGTCTTTCAAAATGTTGAATTAAGATAATATTATGATGMAGGGCTGTYAACTCTCCCGGATAAACCAGGAGTCTCCAGATTTTGGACCGTATCTCCCGGTCTCCAGATTAGAGTCTCAAATCTCCCGGATAATCGCAGAAGCTGACCATTTCTTGTGAGACTTGACTTTCACAACCATAAAATTCCAATTATTTTATGTTGTTTGTGTTGTTTTACATCGCTAACAAMATCAAAACGTTCCTCATGAACTGTTCTTGCAAGCAGGCCATTGTAATAGAAGCGATAATCTGATTGGTCAGAAATAAACCAATTTAATGTTACATCAAATGTCACAAAGCGAATGACGTCTTTTCGCGYGCTTTTTTCCTCTGTGACGTCATGTCCCTTCCCTATCAATTCTCCAGATTTGAATATCTCGGGGGTTGACAGCCCTGTCATGTGACATGGAGTTTGTTAAATTGCATTAGTGACCAGGCTTTAAAATCATAACCATTTTCATGTTGAAAAATAGCTTTCACTGAACTGGGAATTGAAGTATCATAAACTCACACTTCAATATACATTATTTTAATAATATTTATTTCATGATTAAAATTAATGACTCATTGGTCCTTGATTACTAATAATCCAGGGGGGTGTCCTGCTGTGTACCGGAGACCCCCTAACACCGTAATTAGTAYGCTTTTTTTGAAGCGATGCAAAATATCTCTATATACATTTCTTCATTTGGGACACCCCCCTATCAAATTTTTGTATCCACCCCTGACCATGGTTAGTAGTCAAAATTAATAGGATTCACACAATAACATAACTTTATTATTGAGGGATGCGCAATAACCTATAACAATTTTCTAAGTTATCCCTCAAAATAAATTTATTATTTTGATCACTCAATAACATATATTCACTACTTTATTTCTGTGCCATTTTTACTCCAAAAAGCTTCATCAGTCTTGKCTGTGTTGTAACTAGGAGAGGAGGCAAAGCTGAAAATAAAAGGAGATTCAATTATTAAAGTGTTGCTGTTCAATGTTGATAGACAATAGAACTCTTGTCACTGTAAGCTTAACATTGTTTCCCATGATTATAAAACAATAGAGGTCATCTTTACTGCAATTTTCAGAAACATKAGAAGTCTGTGTCTCCAAGTTGCACACTGAAATGTGGTTTTTTGCTGCCACCAGTCAAAAAGAATGAAAGGTATACCAACTGAATATGTTTGATTGACGTCATCAGAAAAAAAAATTCAGCGTGCAACGTGGAGATACAGAGTTCCSATGTTTATAAAATCACMGTRAAAAATGCATCTAGAGAGGCRTGGACCATGCATATATCCGTAAACAAAACCAGCCATATTTTGTCTTTGCATCATTTTGTACGAAATTGTGGATTAATTATCACTGGAGCATACATTGGGAACAAAAGGAAATACCTCTGAGTCTTTGTTTCGTTCATGCCTGAGTGAATTCTTAGGCATTTGACAACCAGAATATAATTATATATTCCGTAATCGCAGTCAGGATTCATCATTCATCATAATTTGAAGTTGTCTCTGACTTGTGAGATTTACAACTTTTAAACAGATGTTTTGGTTTAAATAAAGACACACTCATGAAGGTCTTYGTTTAGACTGAAACATCTGTTTAAAAGTTGTAWATCTCACAAACATTTAGACTGAAAGATATATCATGTACGTGTTTCATTATGTAACTTTAAATGTAAAATTCAACTTGTGAATCRAAAATTCAGAATGCCCTGACCATTTAGTGAGGAATTAAGATGGAGAATGGTATTTCAGCATTTGTTTTATGCCAGAACCTTCAAGGAAACACATGATATTTCTTTTAGCCTAAATGTGTAAATGTGTAAATGTCTTTTTTTGGTGGACAACGTTAATGACATTGACTGTATATGGCAGGCATGCTCAAGTATTCATTAATATAAGTCATACAACCTCACAGAGTTGCAGTAAGGGTATACGTTTTGCTGGATGTCTTGAGTATATCCAACAACTTGAGTATATCCAATAACTTACATTCTAGGGTTGGACAATTGCATTCTTTTCTTATCTCTAGAGCCTGTAGATAAAAACAATCTAGCTAAGATGTTGCTTGAACAAATGGCAGATAAATGATGCAAGCTGAGGAGRACAGCTGATAATAGATGTGCAAAAGGGGCCACAATTTCTTCTAAAAATATGTTTGATTCCTGCTCAAGTWATTATGCACAAAGTGTTGAGTATAACTAGCTACATGTACTGTAGATGTATTGTTCTCTGTTCCTTGCTATGTGACATTTATCCCATGTGCCTTCTGGAAGAACGAACATGGCAGTATTCTTACATGAAACCTCTGACTTCAATTCCTTTTGTTCTCAAGAATTTTGGCATAAATATATGCCCTCCAAACATTTTGGGGGGGGGGGGGTGGGCGACAAATTAGATCAGTGTTGAAACCACAAGTCCTTGCATTATATATATTTATATGTACAGTGTTAGAATTGTCTAATATACTCATTGAAATCAATAGACTTACCTCTGGCAATAGACTTTCAAGGTTGTTAGCTCTAGTGGCATGAGATGGATGTGTGGAAAGCCATTCCACATCAGTGTTTCCTTTTAACTGCTGTTGTGCTGCCAGTCTTTTCCATACTTTGGGGCTTTGACGCACATCAAAACATGCCTAGTCATGATCAATACATCAAAATAATTGTCAAATTTTTTAACACCTCACATCAGTCCTGGGGGGACTAACATTGGGAAAAGGGCAAGGATGCTGGATTTATACTCTGCCACTTTACTGTAGCACTCATAGATATACATTTACAATAATTATTGCTAATGAGCATTTAGYATCTAGTAGGGTAAAAATCATTAGTTGACTTGCATGGGTACCTTTCGGGGACAAACATATTCAAATATTATGAGATTGCCCTCCCCCCTCCCCCTCCAGCCAGGACACCAATAATGCAGTACTGGGCTTTTCTTTGAATTAAAATTTAATCTTTACTATGATATGCATAGTTTGGCATTTCAATACTCCATTTTACAGTTCYGTTCCAAGCCGAGGCTGGAGTTTTCATGCATGATAAAAAGTATAGTTTTGCTATGCGCGGAAACTGCAGCCTTGACTTGCAACTATTATTCATGGTCACTTGAACAGAACTGTAAAATGGAGTATTAATAATACCAACGACCAACCTTTGCTGCAAACAGCATTCCAACTTCATCTGCTTCTTCCTCAAGCTTCCTWGAATATGGCAAATGTAGAAGAATCTGAAAAGCAAGGTTACAATACTTAGTCAAAAACACAATCTTAAACGCATTATAGACCTTTTTAATATTAATTTGTTATCTCAAAACCAGACAACTTCAAATGAAATGCAGTTAGTTTTTTTCATTTTCGGCTGCTATACTTCAAATTTACAATGGGCAGCTGAGTTAACAATTAATAATCGACAGAAGCCCCCCCCCCCCCCCAAAAAAAGACAAAGCTGGAAGTTGTGGAGGTTGCATAACTTCATGTGATAACTGGAGCTCTAAAAACTATATGGGCCAGAATCGGTGGCTAACAATAATTCTAAATTGAAGATCCAAATTACTTACAGTCAAAATTTGATCTTGTATCCACTGTGCAGCTATAGCAATATAGTCTGTAGGAAGGACAGCCCAAAGAATAGCCAAGGACACTACTATGAACAAATTGATSATGCCATGCAAGCTTGCCTGCTCTGCCTGGAATTGAGAATAAAACGAAGTACTAAATAAACTAAAATAACATAAATGGTTGAACTGTAAACTTTTTCACTCCTATTAGTGCAATAATTTTGGATTTGGGAGTTACACCCCAGATGCAAAATAGTACTTAATATTTAATTTTCTTCAAAGATGCTTTATTTTCAATGTATTAATTCCTTGGAAATGACAGCTAGTATACAAGAATTTGGTTAGTTTCCATGTACTCAGCTCGTCAACCCCTCCCTCCCCCCTGCCAATGTAATGTAAAAATCAAGTCTGTGTATGAAAATTTCAAAACAAAATATATTCAAAAACTTACCCCATGTCCCAAGATAGCATGAGCCATCTCATGTCCCAGTATGGTCGCTAATTCACTATCATTAGATAGCATGTCAAGCATTCCTTTAAACATAAATATCTGGCCATTCTAGAGATATGGAGTATAAAATGCATCAACAAACAGTATGTCTTTAGATACTCTATGAAGCAGACTTAATGTATATGTATTAATAATTGTATCTGGGACTGCAATTGATATAACTGATTGTACATTTTGCTACTACCCCACTACRTTTCCAGGTATCAGCCCCGCCCTTCCCCATTATAATAATCTGCAGTGGTATATTTTCAAATAAGCCTCTTCAATTTCAAGGATCATGCCCCATAGTCCTTAATTGTAATGGCCAGAAGCATAGTACATTGTCTTACACATTTTTGTCTCGATGACTACATGCACAGCTAGTTGGAATTGCGGCCTACTCAAATTAGAATCTACCTTTTTGCTCTGGTGTTTCATGGAGCTTGTGCTATATAGCTAAAACTTATGACTCCCTTGACATTTGGACATATATTTGTTTGACCCTCTAGTAATATAACTAGTTCATTATTTTATTTCTCATGTACTGATGAAACTTGTAGAAAACATTATTTTGGTACCCCAATGACTGTTCCTTACCGGCAAAACAAAAGCATTAAYATCAGCTGTATTCACAACATTAACCTGCCATTTAATTCCATCCGTCTCCTTGGACTGATTACCCTTCAATAACCTTTTGGTGACTTGAAACACTCTTATATGGTCTGGATGATTGACAGGCAAAATGTATTCTCCACAAAGTTCCAAAGTTTGCTTGTACTCTGATTCAACCAGATGTTCCATTTGTGCATTTCCAATTGGCATGAATCTAACCCTGTTAGTGACAGGTGTCTCTTCAAGATGAAAGAAGTAATATGCAATAAACAGTCCTCCTATACTTCCAGATATTATAACCAATTTTTCTGTCCTTTTGTCATTCAATAACTGCAACTTATATTTGGGGCTGAGTTTTTGGTACCATTTTCTAAAAGACCTGAAAATAAACAAAAATGTAACAACATGTATGTTCATTAACCCTACATCCCAACACAGATGAGTATCCATAAAAGAAGATAAGTTTCATTTATTAATGCCCAACCAAACAAAATTTATTTGCTATAGGGCAAATAATGTTACAGGACTAAAAAATTTTAAATCACTCTAATGCTGCTTCCACCCTGCACTCCCCCTCTTACAGTATCATGTTTATAAGATAATATTCATGAAATTAAAAGCTAGGGTGGGGGGGGGGGGGGGGGGGGGGAGGGGGGCAAATAAGTTGTTCGAGGTAGAAGATAGGACGGATAGAGAGAAATGAATGAGAGACAATGATGTGTTGGGTGGGAAGTGATGATAGATGATGGAAATGGTGGGACAGGGAAAAATGGAAATGCATAAAGATTAGGGAATATAGATTCAAAGAATGTGATGTAACGGTGAGATGGGAAGTATGTTCCAGACCAAGAAAAGAAAGTTGTGTTGATAAAGGTGTTTCCAAAGTCATGTTAGCAAAACCACAGGAAGCCCAACATTTCTTATTCAGAAAGTAGTATCGAAGCATTTACATATCACTTGCTACTGAAAATGATACATGTAGCATACCTTCCACCCACCATCGCGACCAGCTTTAAAACTTTTGAAAGAGGTCCAACAAACTTAACTAACAAAGCAGCAATGGGCCAAGCATCTCTTCGAGCACTTGTATGAAAACTTTGATACTTGTAACGACCCCTCAGACGACAACAAACATCCTTCCAACCTTCACTTCTAAACCAATGCTCTCTGCTCCAACAATGAATCTCGTAAAACCTTGAATGATTACAATTATTACTTAGTAGACATCTTTGAGTTCTGTTAAATGACAAATTCCAATATCTAAATGGGACAARACGTTGATTTAGGAATCTAAAAGAAGAAGAACGTCCCGGATGATGAAATGTTCTGATTCCTTGCAAAGAAAGTCGCGATCTCAAGAACAAACATATTGGGCGATGCCTGAAATTATTCAAGAATGTTGAAGCCATAATGCTGATTGACATCTATCGGATGAAAAATTCTCTCATTTTGACGACAAAATTGGGGAAAAACATGAAAACGTGAACGACACTAATTGTAACATTGGAGTTGGCACCTTTTCAACCAGGCGTTCCTCGCTACGCCGATATTCGGCCCAGGAACCCTCGGTTGGATCGTCAATCCAAGATGGCGGCCTTCATGTGCGCAGAGCTACATTTTGCTGAATTGAATTTTTCTTTAAAATTCTGATTTATTTAAAACAAAGCTGAATATATACTAGGATGAGATAGAATATTGTTTCACTAGGAGGGGAACTCAAAAGAGAATTCGCACAGAATGTAGTATAATTAACGAGAAGAAGAAAGAAACCAAGTCATGGCTGATCGAGGTGTCTCTCCCGACTCATCCACGCACATCTCAGAAAAGAGCAGAAAGTCAAAGAAAAGAAAGCACAAACAAAAGTAAGTTTAAGGCGTAAATAATATAAATACATAAGTTTGATGACTCGACTCTGGGAATTTTTGAGTAAAGAAAGTGATATAGTAAAGACAGCAACTCTTTGACACAATTAACAACTTAACTTGTACCATACAACCTACCGACCAAGTTTCGGTTAGACATTTCCCAGAATAGACCTCCTCTGCTCGGGCGTAACGTTTTCCCATTTCAGACCACGTGTTACTTCCTACAGTATCATTTCTTTTTTTTTTTTAACGCTTGCACTTGGTTGCACATGAGAAGCACATAAATATTGTTACAACTCAAACAAAGAATCTTATTCTCAAGGGAGTGACACGTGGTCTGAAATGGAAAAACATTATGGCTGAGCCAAGGAGGTCTATTGAGTTATGTAAAAGTTATCCATAAAACAATGGGCAAGGAATGCCATTCACCATTTTCCACACATCGGTTCACTGGTCAAACACAAAGCATTTAGTTGAGGTTGCAATTAGGTTCAAATTTGAATAATCCTCTGAAAGTACCTTGGCACCCCGCTTGAGCGCTTTGTGTTTGACCAGTGAATCAATGTATGGAAAATGGTGAATTAGGTCTCAAGAGAAATGAGGGTCACAGATTTGTGTCCAGAAAATTATTTTGAAAACAGGTGAGTCTTTTTTTCATTTTTCATACTTATTCATTATAGTGGATATTATAACACAAAGCAAGAGAGTATGAAGTACTCTCTTGGTTAAAGTTACTGCATAATGCACAAAAGTATGACCACATTTAATGTATTCACATACTTCTGTGCACAGGCTTCATGCTGTCAAACAAGCGTTTACACGCCTTATTTGGTAAAACCAGCCAGCTTCACATCAAAATGTGTTGGTTTGACGTACAAAGCTGTGCATCGAAGTATGCAAATAGTCTTACTTTTGCACGCTGCACTGTATACGCGTACAGTAATATAAATCTAGACTGAGCATACACTACCACAGGTAACCCACATGAGGAAATGCCCAGCATCAGGGTAACCCGTGGAAAAATGAATGTTTACTGGTGTTCATGATGTGGAACTTGGGTGATAAAGTACCTTTCTTGTCTAAATAATTCCATTTTTTGTAAATAATGAAAATTGTTAGCAGTAGCTTTCAATATGTGCGTGCCATAGATGCAAATCTATTACTCTTATTCTCTTGGTCTTATGCTTGGTAACTGGTGGTGTTGCTGAAGATTGTCAGTACATTCTGGAACCAAGGAAAATATAGATTTCATAATTATCTATTTAGATCCTTTGTGCGAATTATTTTCTATTTTTTATTATTTGTCTGAAATTAACAGAAGCTTATCCTCAAAAGCTGTGTAACCAGATTACCATTGTTGAAGAAAACATGCGCGCATGCTGTGTGCTGTCATAAAGCACGCAGGGTTGGCAGAACACGAGAGAAGTGTAAGCAGAAGCACGATGCATAGCGGAGTGCTTCTGGACACTTCTCGAGTGTTCTGCCAACCCCCAAGTGCTTTATGACTGCACACAGCACAACAAGCAAGTTTTTTATTTCTGTTATAAATATGAATTACAATAATAGATAGGAATGACGCAACGGAAAGTGCACATGCGTGCAATGTGCTGTCATAAAGCACACGTTCCAAACCAATCAGAACGCAACATTCATAACAGTTATTTTATGATAAAGTATATTTTAAAAAATTACCCTCTTTTCAAGCAATTTTTGGTAATTAAAGTTGGTAATTAAAGCAAAAATTGGTAATTTGACATTAGGTCCAAAACGAAACACAAGAAAGTAAAATCTTCTTCCAGTGAAAGCAACCATACTCACACTCACAAGAAATCCAAGAAGCATAAAAGAAGCTCTCACTCTCCAGCCAACTCAGATGAATCTGATGAGGAAATCATCGATATTAAACCCTTAGCGGGGTACATTGATGACAAAAAGAAGTTACACAAGGAAATATTTTCACTTGTCAGCAAGAAAGAGGTCAAAGATCTTCTACCTTCATCACTCAAGGTACTGTAGTTATCACCTAGCTAGATAGTGCTAGTTTGTATTAAATATATATTGATTTTGGATATAAATAGCAACCTGTAATGCTGTACTGTACATGTATGTGTACTTTTTGCCAGTGCATAAAAATAATGATAACACTTGGTACCAATTTCATCAGTTTTATGGAAGTCTCAGCCAAGTTCCAAGCCTAGGCATCTTGCATTACTTTGCACCATCATTCTTGCTCTATTTACCAGTATAACCTGTCAATGTGTGAGCAATTTATCAACTTGCTGCATTGAAAATTATAGGCTTAACACTTATAACTAACAATTCATTCATGATAACAACTGACATGACTGCTAGCTAAGGGAGCCTTGATATGTAGTCTGTAAAATCCTTCATTGGTTACAAATTAAAAGCACATTGAGATGTTATTGTGAAATGCACTTTAAATATAAAAACAGGGTTCGTGCTACTCCTTAAACTCCTTGAATACTCCTTGAATTTAATTCACGTTTTCAAGGGCACTTGAAAAGCTCTTGAATTTTATGATTTTAACGAAACTCCTTGAAAACTCCTTGAATTTTTGCTTTGATCATTACTTGCATGGTTCTGAAATAGATCTAGTCAGAAAGATCGGAAAATCTGAAAGTCGGCCATGTGCAACCACCTTGTAAAACCTTGGCATATTTAGCTGAACATACTCCTTGTAATTTCATTTTTGGGTCCTTGTATACTCCTTGAATAGTCCTTGAATTTTAAGTGTTTACCTCAGCACGTTCCCTGTAAAAACTTCCTCTTTTACTCCAACGAAGGACTAGCGTCCGAAACGTCAGTAAGGTTTTTCATCTTTTCACGGTGTATAATTTACCCTTTTATCATTACTGTTTCATTAGATGCACCGATGCAGCTCACACTAGTTTTAAGCTAGTTATCTCCTCAATATAATTATTATTGTTATTTTATCATTGTTGTTGTTACAGTTGTCTTTAAACCAATTTCTTTTTTTTTTTAAGAAATTGAAATTCAAGGAATTTAAGAGTCTTTGCCTGGAGCAGCTTGTAGTGATGTCCCAAAAAAGGATACGGCATGTAATAGCTGGCCAGGAAATGGTTTCTTCATCATCAGATGAGAGTGAAGCTCAAGAACATCAGCCACAAGATGCTAACGATGGAGAGAATGAAAGTGTAAAAATGGATACATCTGCAAACAAAACATCAAAACAGGTTTGTACAGCAGGGATACTGGTAGATACCTCTACCAACCTCAAATCGAAACACAAAATATCATAATAACAAACCTGATATGGATGCCAATTTTCAACCTATCACCTAATAACAAAAAACGTCAACTATTAATGACTGTGATGTATGAGGTTAATATTCAATATATTAATGGCACAGATAAATTGTATTTGAAATACAGTACGTCATTGTTTCCCCCCATTGGTCTTGGAAATTATTGCATGTTAGTTTTCGCATAGTAGTGTTTCCAATTACAAAAAAAAAAAACCATTGCTTCCTCATACATCACAGCATAAGCATATGACATGGAAAAAACTTCATAGCTTCAAGAAGCTGCACTCAAACTATGAATTTTTTTGGGGTGATTCAGAGCTTACCACTTGTGAGAACCAGGTGATTTGAAATCTAGGCACACAATGCATTGTTTGTCACAGCGAAAGATCCCAAGTGCTTTCTCTATCTTTCGATAAAATGAAATATTTTCCACCAACAAAGACAAAAATATGCTACTTCTAAGAGGTATTTAGTAAATCTTTCCACAGAAGTGTTTTATTTTCTTTATTTTTGAGTTAAAGACGTTTTTTTTGAGCCGAAAACTTTGAAAATCTTGAACTACGTACGAACAAAATGTTTGCTGATTGGCCAATTTGTTCTGCCTGATAGAACAGAGATCACCTGGAACCAATACTGAGAATATTGTCAGGAGGGTTACTTTTAATATTTATATTCAGTGCATGTCATAGGAAAATGCTCACATGCACATTGCAAGACATTTACCAAAACTATACCATGGTTACCATAGTAACACTAATTAAAATTCTCTGATTGTTCACTGTCATTGAATATTTCAGTTGGATGCAGCAGCAATAGAGAATACAGAAGAACAGCCTCCGAAAGTCAGTATCCTTGAAGAAATGAGCTTGTTACCCAATCAAGATGAGATAGATGAACTAATCGAACCAGAACCTCAAACCTCTCAACAACCAGTACAGCTGGAGCTGGAGGAACAAGGTTATTTCTGTTTTTTTATTGATAGATCCATAAATTTATACCCATATGTATAAAGGCTTTGCACCATCACGATGGTACTGTAGCCATGATAGAAAGTACAAAAATGGAGTATTTTTCTTGTGTACCCGGGTAAATCAGGGGTGCTTACCATTAAACCAATCCATTTGGTTAGAAATTTAATTGCTAGTAGTGAGAAAAGTGCGGGAAAGTTGACTTCTGCCAAATAGCACACGCATCTACCCGAAGAACCTAAAAGAAGACCAAGTTTTCTGGAACCTTCCGATTGGAATAGCACATAACATTCGTTTTTCAATAACCGGAATTTCTGGTTTTCAAGTAAATGTGAAGTACTTCAGATTAGACCAGATTCAATTGTTCATGTGAATTGGCTGTCTGACGTATGTTTTTGCATACATGCAGCCAGTACTGTATCTTAGTCTTTTTTTCTTTCTTTATTTTAAATATCAATCTCATAGTTCCAAAAAGTTGCTTTGAATAAATTGTTGTTATTCCTACCTCCTGGCATAGCTGCCATCACGATGGTGCTAAGCATCTATTATATGCCCTTTTTATACTTCATGAATATTCATGACCCCATGCAATGACATAATTAGCATTATGTATAGTAAACTAAGTTATGCGAGGGCTGTTAGTTAATCATGATTAAGTAGAGCATCAAATGGACAAATTTATCGCTAAGTTGTGCTCTATTTCTGGCGGCTCTACACGAGCTTTAATCCATTCCTTCAAAGCTAATGAGTAAAAGAGAGGGACAAGGTAGTACTTATGAAGAGAAAAGGAAGTGATATTTTGTTGTGCAACAGCACATTGCTTGAAATATCTGCTAGCAGGCAAGTTGCTTTTAAAAATGTACAGTAGTTTATAAGACTTTTAGTAAAATTATGAAAATTATTTTTGTTCCAGTTTGCACACAGAAAACTAATATTGATTTGCCGTCTGGTGATTGTCATTGACTTCAAATTCCTTGTTGCATCATATTTTACTATATTTTTCTTCCCCAGTATTTCTAATATTATCAAATTAAATATGATTGCTCTCTAGATATGGCAGGTGAAGAGAAAGGCAGTCCAACTCAAGAAGATGACCAATCTTTATTGATGGCTGAAGCTGACCTCAGGGAACTAGAATTTAGAGCTAGAGCACTCAAGTCTCTGGTAATTGCCAGAGAACGACAACAAAAACTTGAAAAAGAAAAACAAGACCAGGAAGCAACATAAAATGTTACAAAACCTGAAATATGTAAAATAATAGGTGTTTACCAACAAGATGGTAAACTGAAACTATTCATAAACTATGCTAGTCTGCCATTAATCTAATCAATAAAATTCCCATCCGTTCCTTTTTATTTCAGCTTTTTGCCAAGTCTTTGTTTTCTGGCTTTATTTTGTTGTTCTTGACAAGTAATTCAAAGACTCAGCAAAGAGAGAATTACAAAAGGGACTTCTATCTCCAAGAAGGGTAGTCAAACATCATGAAGGTGTACCATTTTTGAAAAAACTTGGATTTAAATTATACCCTTAAAGAAAAGAATTCCAATAGACCATTTTTTCAAGGTTGCGTGCGCATCCAAATTTAAGGTACTTGACGGGCCACGATACCAGAACAAGAGCTTTATAATGAGAATTACCATACATTTCTATTAATTTTTTTCAGAAAGAATTCATAAAATTGATTATTCTCATCTTTAAATATAAAACTGGCTTCTCAATTATACTGAATTTTCGTTTTTCAATTTTGTGGCCTGTCAAGTTGGATGCGCACACAACCTTGAGGAAACGGTGTATGGAACTATATCAAAATTATATTGGATGCCAGTGAGGATAACATGGAAATACAAAAGAAATCTGACACATTTTTTCAATGGAAACCACATTATTCTTCCATTCAGGATAGTTTTGAGAAGGGTCATGGATTTATTGACAACGCACACTTGTACCTCAAAGGAACTGTATTACACAATAAGAACAAGAAAACTTTTATTAAATATTTTAATGTGTAATTATACATACAAATTCCAGTAGTTTTCAATTTTCAAAATCATTTTCATTGGTATCCTGTATTAAAAAAATATACACAGCACACAACAAATAAATTGGAAAAGAGTCCAAGACCTTGAATATGTCTTGTTTGCAGACAAACCTTTAAAATATTGTGTTTAGTAAGGATATACTCGTTTAGGTATAAGAGAGCTGATTCCATTTTAACCGTCACCAAAGGCCAATGTTGAATATTGAAGCAGAATATCTTTTATTTACCACTGATCACGGCAACAGTCACAACAAAAAGTGAGCAATACAATGCCATTTATCAGAGTATGTAAAGGTACCAAACAATTTTTTCAAATGTTCAGTCTATTGCCCGATTTTCCTCTAGCAACTGCTGACTTGATCAGTGTGTAGCAATGAAAACAGTGGTAATACACTGAGTAGCTGATGATTGAGAAGGAAAATTTTGCTACTGCCCCACCCCCCACAGAAAGTGAAGTTGTCTAAAAGCAGCTCTGTTGGAGAGCAAGGAAGAAGCAGTAATGTTAAATTTTGTAAAAGCCTATTCCACTTCTATTTCAAGATAATTAAATAATCTTAAGAGCTCATTAAAAAGAACTGATGAAAGTATAAACATGCATGAATTTGTTTGATCAATTGCTTCGGAAAAATGTTCAGGAACACTTTCCTGTGAAGTATTAATATAGTGTTAATGTTCTCATAGTTTAGATTTCATCTTTCCCATAAGCTTTTCTAATTTCATTGCAATCATCATGTCTCCTTTTATCTTGAGCTTGCCACTCATAAATGCTTGTGTTGGATTAAGTTGACCTTGGAACATCTTAAGAAAGTCCTCAGAGTCAAGGGACATGGTACACTGTGCTTGACCACCTGGGTATGACCCTGAACCTGCACTACCTAAACACAATACATTGTAATAATTGCATCAGACATGTGTTTGTAACAAGTAACAGTTAATACATGAAATATCCTTCCAATTTCCAAATGACCTGTTTGGCTTGTGAGCAAGTTCTTTCCATTCTGACAATGTGAGTCTTCACATGACATGATACTTAAAAAAATCATGATATCACCCATAAGGATCAATATCTGCATAGACTAGATTCTCTTGGAAATAATGTCTTTGTTTTCCTTTAATGCTTGAGAAGATGCATTTATGTGTATGTGGGCATATGTAATACTCAAGAAGAATCACATAGTTTGAAATCAGATAACATGCCAAAGCCAAAAATGGTCCATAGCCTTCAATCATACCAGAAGTGCCTTCTCGTCAAGTTGTGCTAGATGGCAAGTATTGGTTTTATTTTTACTTTTTTATTTTAGTATTTTTCTTATTTTCTTTTGTTGTTGCTTGTTGTTGTGGTTTGGGTCAAGCAGTTTCTAGGCGCTGGTTTGAAAGAACCTCTTGTAGTTGTCTCCTCATGTCCCACAAACTGGTCAAATCGGATGTCATAGCTCCACCCCTACCAAGGAGATTCTGACCCTTCCCACCATTTATATCTACATGTAGTATTCGAATCCAACCCTACCTAAATAAGAATATTTTCAGGAACCAAAACAGTTTCACAAATTACCTTCATTCTTTCCCGATAGAATAAAGGATATTGCATGTAAATATATTGGGGAGGGATTCCTGTGGTAAGGTCAACGATTATTGTGGGCGGTGTGTAAACGAACGCGTATTCTTTGTTAATACATTCAATCAGTCAAAAGAAAATGTAATCTTAGTCATAATTAATCTTAATATAGTACCTGGTCCATTCTTTAAGTCTAGATACCACAAGCCAGCATCCTTCCCGTGGATATCAAACTCAAACACTCCATTAATAGTCTTGACAAGTTCATCATCACATAGCGATTTTATGGTCTCAAAAACTTTAGCAACGTTACCCGTTGATGAACCAGCACTCGCTTCCAGTTTTTCCATTTTGTGATGATCCTTTAAGAGCTTCTCTGGGTTCGCTTCATCCAGGAAAAAGTCGGGAAGAAGAGTGCTTCCTAGAAGGATAAGAATGAAACGTGGTTGGTGTCTGGTCGCGCAATGAAACGTTGACCTTTAACCTTAGTTAGAGTGTTACTGGCTCACTTATAAAGTGTGGAAAAATGTTTCGAAACTTTATAATCCAAACAAAAGGAGTTCATCACGTGAGTTAGCCGTGCGCTGACGTCGTACCTTCCACACGTATCCAGCGTACCGGGATATATATATATATATATAGAAATTTTTAAAAGGATTTTTTTTTTCATTCCGTTTCTTTCCCTTTTTTTTTTTTTTTTTTTTTAATTTTTTTTCCACACTTAGTTTTTTTTAATCGTGTTTCGTTTTCAAGTGGCGTATTCACCGGGTACATGTGGACGAAAGTCACGGAAGGCCATTCCGCAAAGAAAATATCTGGATAAGTGTGGACGGAGATCAATCCAAAGCTTATTGTTGTCTTAGAAACTCATTTAGCTTCTACTTTTCGCTTCATCAAGCCGTTTCGAAACTCAATCGCCTTTCGCCACGTGAATTAGTGTTACGCGTGACGTTCAATGGAAAACAAGCGCTACTTTGAGAAACATTATGCAAATGTCACGTTTCGTTCACGTCGATTACGCAGTCGGTCGAATAAGTTTAGTCTTCCCAATCTGAAGGCACGCCCAACCGAATGAAAATAGAAAAACAGCTGAAACACTATGGAAACACAGGAACTTCGCAATCACACACATAGGCCTTTTTTTAAACTCTGAATGACGTGGGGGGGGGGGGGGGGGGGGGGGGGGAGGAGCATGAAATCTTTCCCTCCTTTCGTTCTCTGGAACCGTGTAATAGAGTAAGACTATTCATTATATTCTTACAGTTTCTGGAATGGCATTTGTACTACTTCTTGATGGACTTTATAAAAGATTTTTTTAAATAGTCTTCTGTGCGCCGATATTTTATATGCATCATTTACGGCAAGGTAATGGGATTAACGGTTGATGCCACAGAGTGGCTCTTCTCCCAATGGATTCCAATTGGAATTTAGGATCTTTACGAAGGGAGGAAAACCAGAGAACCCGGAAAACCCTCGAAGCACAGGAGAGAACCAACAAACAACTCTACTCACATACGACAACAAGCCCGGGCGGGTTTCGAACCCGGATCGCATTGGCGAGAGGCGAGCTCTCTCCCCGCTACGTCACCCGTGCTTCCCTTCCAATTTATTATAACTGCAAACTTAGCTGCTATTTTAGGCCTACTTGCAATGGATACCTTTTCCCGAAACCCGGCTGGCAAAATTACGAAAATCTATTTACCAATAATTTGAAGTTTCGTTTAAATTGATTGATTTTTAAGCGAACGGGAGAATGACATTGTGAAAAATCGCAAACGCGACTCAAAACTAAAATTTCGAATAAACCGTTAGAAGCCTAAACGTTTGAGCTATTACATGTGATACGCTACTACATGTGCCAAGTTCAAAAACATCTGAGTGTTTTTGATACGATACTTTATGACGAGCGAGTTCGAAAAAATCACAAAATGCATTTGCAATCCATGATGTTGGAATCGAAATCATCCAACATTCTAATGGGACGAATCATAGTTAATGGAACGGAAAGGTTGGGAAACCTATCGACGACTCTTAAAACTCCAGTGTATGGGGGCTTAGCCTCACTTGTGAGGTCGGTAAACAAAAGCAGAAATTAGAATGACAAAGCAAGCAACTCCTGGATTCGAAGCTTGATTTTTAAGATTCGTCAATAGTTCTAGCTTTTTGTTCTACTTTATCCATTGTTATATGGCGTTCACCCTGCACAGAGAAGGAAATTTTTTTTCTTTTTGTTCATAGTATACAGAATTTTTTCCCCCTACAAAATCGTTTTAAAAAAGTTACTATTTGTTATTTAATCCTATATCATTAATATTAATTGTTTATTGGAAAGGAGATTGCCCTTTTTATTACTTTCTTATTTATCATCTAGTAACTTAACTGCATCTGCCCGGAAATATTCATTCGCATGGTTTTTGGCCATCGAATGAAAGTTTTCACTTTAGAATGATTATACATGAAAATAATAAGGAAATGAGTATTTCTAGCCATAAGTTGCTTTGGTTCATCGTGAAGGGTMAGTATCACGTGATGGTACACAAAACAATAGATTTGTCCTATGGAGTTTCCAAACCATTCCACTCCATTATTAACTATGGATAAATTTATGCTTCGCTTTTCATTGATACCTTTCGTTTTTGTTTTTTTTTTGTTTTTTGTTTTTGTTTTTTTTTTTGTCGTAACGTTTCATCATGCTGTTTCCTTTTGGTCATCCTTTTAATTGCCCTATTTCACTATGACGTCACATCAAAACAATCTATTGTTTAAAAGCAAAGGATCATGGTCGTCGGAGGGGGTCAATTCAACGCAAATTCACCG